AATTTAGAAAGGTGTTCTTCCACATTTTTTCCCTATTTTGAGTCTATAATCCTGTTCCATTTCTCTTCAGTCACAGGAAGGCCTTGCCTTACCAGTGTTCGGGTGATGCCAGATGGGGCCAAGTGGGATGATGACTGCAATACCTGTCAGTGTCTGAATGGAAAGGTCACGTGCTCCAAGGTACGACTTTGCTGTGGTTGGGATTGTGAATCCTCCAAAACAGGATGATAGACAACTTGAAGGCAAAATGGAGGAATGTGGTGGGATACTCTTCGTGTCTGTCCTGTAACCAGTGGTTATTTATCAGCGTTTATTCTCTTCCAGGTTTGGTGTGGTCCTCGACCTTGTGTCCTACATGCCAAAGGCCATAACGAATGCCCAGCTGGACACGCTTGTGTTCCTGTCCGAGAAGACCACTGCTTTACTCACCCGTGTGCTGCAGTGGGTGAATGCTGGCCTTCAAACCAACAACCGGTGAAGACCAAATGCAATTCTGATTCTTACTACCAAGACAACTGTGCCAACATCACCTTCACCTTTAATAAAGAAATGATGGCACCAGTAAGTAGCAGAACATAAAAGAACAGCAAAAGCTGGCTTGGAGGCAATTCTACCTCCTCTTCCCTTGAGAACTCTTACTTCAGGGCAGAAACAGAAACATAAGTCTACTATCTGTGTGTTCATGTGCATAAAAACCTCCAACACCTCTTTTGCATCCTCCAGGGACTTACCACAGAGCACATTTGCAGTGAATTGAGGAATCTGAATATTCTGAAGAATGTTTCTGTTGAATATTCCATCTATATTACCTGTGAGCCTTCGCACTTGGCAAATAATGAAATACATGTTGCTATTGTAAGTATTCCTGGAATATCTTTAAATGCCTTAGTAGTTAATTGCTTGGCTATGTGTGCAACATGTGGATCTTGTAAAAATCCAATTCTTGGCTTTGTCAGCTCTTCTTGTGGTTTAGTTTCCATCCCAGTTCCCTGTAAGAACAGGGAAGAAATCCTGGTTACATGTGCATACCTGAAAGCTACATCTGGTGGCAACTGTAGTAGGGGTAGAAAAACATGTTTCTGTTACATTCCCTTGAGAGCTGCTTTTGGGAGGTTTTTTGGCTCTTTTTTAAGGATGGGGACAGAAATTTTGCATTATTAGTTCCTGCCCCCAGCTCTTAGTTTGTTTCTGGTGTGCTTTTGAAGTATTCAAAGTGCCAAGAGCCGTAACTGATTGTGAAAGCTTTTAAATAGCAGCTTACCCATGCATCTGATCTGGCATTTGGTATTAATTGTATGGCTTCTTCTGTAGTCTGCAGAAGATATAGGGGAAGATGAAAACCCCATCAAAGACATCACAGATAAGATCATCGACCTTGTCAGTAAGCGCGATGGTAACAACACGCTCATCGCGGCAGTGGCGGAGGTCAGAGTACAGCGGCGACCAGTTAAAAACAAAACAGGTGAGCTTCTCCTCCAGACCCTCTGTATGTGCCATGGCCAGAGCAGCCTTCCACAGCGGGGGAAGCTTCCTCACCTTTTGGATTTGTAGCAAGTCTGAGACCTTCAGCCTCTGGCTCTGATAACGGGGAGCACAGTAAGGAGGCTTTGTGCTGGAGCCTTGCTACTTAAAAAACTGAGTTCTGAAATTGCTTTAACCCAGTGGCCTGACCTGTTGAAAGGACTGCTACTCCTCTATGCATGTCAGTAAGGCAGAAAGCAGCAGCTGGCTGGCTCCGGAAGCCCTCGTGTCACAGTTAGACACTATCAGAGGTATCTGCTTCTAGTTTCCCACAGAGTGCCAGGCATGTAACAGGCATCTTACCAATAGCCACCAGTGAGACAGGAGTGGTTGTAGCAGGAGCTGTTATGTGGGAGCCATGGCAGGTGATGTACTGATGCCTGCGTTACTCCCACCAGCGATGCCTGGCTCTGTGTGTACGAGGTGAACGTTTTCCATGAGGGCTACCAGGCAGCACTCTGAGTTCCAGACTTGGTTTAAACGCCATGTGTTCTAAGGGAGATCCTCCTTAGGTCTGGATCCCAGTGGAAAAATAAGGCTTAAACCCCAAGATGTGTTTTGTTTGCAGGAAGCCTGGCTGGGAGCGCTTGGTTCGTGGTGGGGTTAACGCTGTCCTGTCTCTTCCAGATTTCTTGGTGCCGTTGCTGAGCTCAGTGCTGACAGTAGCCTGGATCTGCTGCCTGGTGACTGTTTTCTATTGGTGCATTCGGAAGCGCCGAAAGCAGAGCAGCCACACTCACACAGCGTCTGACGACAACACTACCAACAATGTGAGGGAGCAGCTCAACCAGATCAAGAACCCCATTGAGAAACACGGAGCAAACACTGTCCCAATCAAAGACTACGAAAACAAAAACTCTAAAATCGCCAAAATAAGGACACACAACTCCGAGGTGGAGGAAGACGACATGGACAAACACCAGCAGAAGGCCCGCTTTGCCAAGCAGCCAGCGTACACTTTGGTAGACAGAGATGAAAAGCCCCCCAACAGCACCCCCACCAAACACCCGAACTGGACAAACAAACAGGACAACAGAGACTTGGAAAGTGCACAAAGCCTCAATCGGATGGAGTACATTGTATAGCAGACGGTGGGGTGCTGCCATGCAGGGCCTTTAAGTATCACTAGAAAGGCACTCAAGAGCTTGTAGTTCTTAAACTGTTGTGTAATATTTGAGTCTGAGGCTATTATTTACTTAGAATCCCTGTGTTAATTTAAGTTTTGACAAGCTGGCTTACACTGGCAATGATAGTTGCTGTGGTTGGCTGGAATACCAAGTGCTGCATTTCACATCTATGCAAAACTAGTCGAAAGTGCCCTCGCGGAAATTCAGCTGCAGCTGATGCATCACGGAAACGTTTCCCAAGGTATCACAGAGCCTTAACTACTCCTCCTTCCTCTTCATTTGTTATTTTTCTTTTTCCTGCCAGATTTATACAGTTCCTTTCGAATGAATACATTTTATTTATATTTATTGAATTTGAGGTTTTTGTATATTGGTTTTATGGTTGACGTACAACTAGTTCTGTATTTGAAAGTGCCTTTGCAGCTCGGAACCACAGCAACTATCACAAATAAGTTTATTATTTATTTTTTTATTGTATTTTTGTTGGGGGCGGGGTGGGGGGAACTTGTCAGCAGTTGCTGGTAAATGAAGAATTTAAAGAGGAAAATGTGTCAAAAATAGAAGTTTGTATAGATCTGTAAATAATTCTTTTTTTATTAATCACTGTGTATATTTGATTTATTAACTTAATAATCAAGAGCCTTAAAATATCATTCCTTTTTATTTATATGTACGTGTTTAGAGTTGAAGGTTTTTGATAGCATTGTAAGCTTGTGGCTTCTCTATTTCGAATTTATTTCCTTGTTACATGTTGCCTATATGCCAAAACTGAGGTGTTCGAAAATAGGTTATTTTTAATAGGATGGGCTCCCAGGCCTTGATGCTGGTTTTTGTACAATGTCCAACGTTTGAAACACCTTCCATAGTATCACTTTAAGACTATTTGTAAGTACTGACTGAGGCAGTTTAGAGAATTAGACTAGAACATTCTTTCTTTTTGTTTTGCTGCTTTAGACTTGAAACCCGAGTGACAGGCAGATCATCTGCTAAGAAGCAGTTTAAGGGAACAAAACTGAGCTATTACTTTATGTAGAGGAAACGTGAGTGGTTGCATGTACTGAAAGTATCCGATTAGCGTGTGAAGTTGGGAACACAGCAATCTTCTTTTGTAAATTCTAATTCTTTGTTTTTTCTCACCATGAATATGTAATACTGAACCACTTGTAGATTTGACTTTTTTTGTAATCTACTGCATTTAGGGAGTATTCTAATAAGCTAGTTGTTGAATACTTGAACAGTAGAATGTCCAGTAAGATCACTGTGTAGGTTTGCCATAGATTCCACTGCCCGCCTTAACAAGTGAGGAAATCAAAGTGCTATTACGATGTTTAAGATCAAAAGGCTTATAAACATAGTCATCTCGGTGGTTAACCATTGAGATCATGAAGATACCTTGTATTGTGATATTAGTGTTATATGAAAATGCATCTTTGATGTGTTGTTCCTGGCAATAAATCTTGAAAAGTAATATTTATTAAATTTTTTGTATGAAAACATGAAAGAGCGTGGAGATTATTGAGCAGGGAGGTGCTCCTGCCTGCCACACTGCTGGGGCAGGGGCAGCTTTGTGCTTCGAAGACCTGCCACCCGTTTCCATGCAGTAGGGTTTTGTTAGCTGATTCCATGTTCCCCCCTGGTTCCCAGTCAGGTTGAAGGGGTTGGAAAGCAGCATGTCCCTTGTTCTCCATGTCTTTTGGCTAGTGGCCCTCTGCGTACTTCTAAGAATAGGAGGAGGAGGATGTGACTGGAATTGTGCAATCAGTTTACTTTGCATGAGCCAATGAGCTCCCACCAGATAGTAACCAAATGTACGTAGCTAGGCAGGATCCAAACTGCTGACCTGGATGGGAAAGGATCCACAGATGATACCGATTTCTAATGGGCAAGAAGTGCTTGTAAAGCATAAAACAAACTTTTAAACTATTCAACACAATGGCTTTTAGTGCTGAACCAGCGCTGCCCCTCCCACCTCAGAGGGGCCGTGTGTGCCGGTTTGCGTTTGCTCTCTGATGGTCTACTCCTATTTTAGCATATTTTCTTGATAAGGCTGCAGCAGTGTTTTACAGGAAGGTGCTAGTACAGAGCTGGAGGAACAATTTGCTGTGGGTAAGAAACTCAACTGAAACCCAAGCAGGGTTGGGTTGCTGTCTGTACTTGAGTTTAAACCAGTCACTGCAAGGTTATGCTGCTTCATACATATCTAGTAAAGTATCTCTATTTATGCACTGCGATAGGAATACAATGAACACTAAACAAGATGACAGCAAGGCATCTCTGCCTTGTAGTTTCTTTACAGCTGTCTTAAAACATCTGTTAAAATCTCTTTAGTGTTGCTTCTTATTTCACACTCACTTTAACAGGAGATGTCAAACGCGCCACTATGCTGCCGTGACAGGGGACAGCTTTCCCTCCTCACAGTCACATGCTGGAGAATCATCAGTTGGCTGCCTGCTGAATGGGAAGTCAACAACATTAGCTTCATCTGACCACTTCCACAATTCCTCGAACAAATCCCAGGGAGTATTTGTTTTCCTCTTTTTCCTTGACATGTTGCCTCCAAAAATGCCATTTAAAAGATAATAGAACCTTCCACCTGCCTCAGAAGTACACAGTGAATTGATTAACTAGATGCTTTCCTGTACTCAGTGTTGAATTAACCATCATCCTGGTGTCTACTGTTCATGTAGGTCCCCAATGACGCAGAAACCAACTACCTCTTCTAAATGACTGAAACATTTATACCTGAATTAATAGGAATAAATCTGTCTTCTATAAGGCTAATTAAAAAAAAAAAACCAGGGCTTTTGCTAGTCCTGGGAGCTGGTATGTGACAGGCTACAGTGGAAACCTATGGAGGTGAATTCTCAATACAGACTTCATCATTTAACATAGTGCTAAATCTATTTAGGTCGCTGGAGGCTCCATGTAGAGCAAAACCTGGGCTCCTCTGGACTTGTCAAACCCTCAGTGCAGGATTCATTTATGTATTTCCAGCCTTTCCTGTGCTGTGAAGCACTGCACTGACTGTGCAGAGGTTTTGTTACAGTGGAGTTTCTCCATACAACTCATTTCCATTGCCACCTGCCAGTGTTATAAACCCACAACCACACGGGGGAAGGGAAGAGAATGCTGTGAAATTGCTGTAATATCTTTAAATTACATCCTCATATGTCAGTGGTAGCTTCAAATTTTACACTGGTGAATGAATGTAACCCCAAACCAGGCTTCCAAACCCTGGAACCACCACCAAGCTGGGCACTGGTGTATGAACTGTTTTCCACTGCCATGGAACTAGACACATGGAGCTGAAGGCCTTCCCGTTACAATACTAATTTTGTGTAACTTAAACTTTGCCAGTTCGCATCTTACTGCTCTGGGAAGATGCATTCTGTTTAGTCAGGAGAAGTTTCCTGCTGTTAGTGTGTGTTCTTTGGATACTTACTCATCTAAGAACTGGGAAAATGTGTGCTTCCTGAGCTGCCATTTAAACATGGGAGCTTTACAAAACAATAATGATGAAATTGCTCCCCTGAGCACCCTCAGCTTTGCTCTAGCTACAGCTAATGGAGCCTGTTGAATCTGGGTTTGGTTCAACTGGAGCTGAACACAGCCACATCAAAGCCTCTGCACCCCCGCACAGAGAGGGCCCATCTTAAGCCAAGGTAACTTGCAAAAGGTGCTGATGGTGCACCTTACATCAGCCTTGATGCCAATATACCCTTGTCACTCAGGGAAGAGCCTTGGGAACAGCTATTGCTGCATTGCTAATAGGAGCAAAGGACAGCCAGCAAGTGCTTGTGCACCTGAAGCCTAGCAAGTGAGAAACATCATAAACCAGGTAGAGCCTAAACAGGAGACTAGATTCTTCAAGCAATTCTGCTGCTGAAGCCATTTGCCTTTCCACTGAAGACACAGAGCAGCAAAAACACCTGCATAGTAATGGTTAATATAATCAATCAGCCCTTTACCAAGCTAGGGAATGCAGGAGGTCACTCTCTGTATGGTTCAGCTTTGCCTCTGCAGCTATCAGGCTAAGGGGGCTCAGCTCTCCAGGGGCCTTCATCACCACCCCTGCCCTTGGCAGAGTCCCTCTGGAACAAGTCACAGGGCAGAGGCTCAATGCTTTTATTAGTGTATGCAAAGATGAGAAGTTCTGACAAGGGAAGTACCAGATTCAGCCTTTTCCTCCCCAGAAGATGGAAGTGATTGCGTAAGCTCTCCCCCCCTTTGAAATGGAGCAAGAATAGTTAAATACAAGATATTTTTCAGCTTCCTCTTTTTCAGTATTGACACCAGTGGCTAATTCCAACTTCTGGGGGTGAGGAGGAAGAAAGCAGTGAAGGTTCTGTCTGTTCTGTTGGCCTCTGGCTGGAGGTTCAGGTTAGCACTGGAGCAATGCGGTATCAGACAGGGCATCAGACCCAAGCTCCAGCTCCAGCCCAGCTCTTCCAGCGAGCGCCTTCTCTGTGATGTGCAAATTGTCCCTACCAGTTTCTCTACAGGGTGGAGAATACATCTCTACTCTTTTCATTCTAGCCCCATGAGATCATATAAATATTAAAAAGGGGAATGCCCATCTCTCGAATTACAGCTCAAGAAACTTTTCTTTCAAAGATCTGATGCACAAATTAAAACATAATTATTGTGGCAGCAAATGAAGCAGTTATGGAGCTGCATTAGCAATTCCTGCTGCTGGGGTTCTGTGTCTCCGCTACACTAAAGGATTTAGCTGACAGAATAGGAGCAAATCAGTGAAATTCTCATTCAAAAAAGGTGCAGCATCAGCTCTCACAGGAACCAATTCCCAGCTCTGGAATTATTTATGTGGACAGTAAAGGAGATGGGATGGTGGAGATTAATTCCCTGGGTAATTTCCCAGGGGAATGCCCTGTGACACTGCATCATCTTCACAACTCTTCTATGATTTCTCAGCATCAGCCAACACCAAACAAACAAGAAGTCCCCATCTAAAAATGTCACATTATGGGTACCGTGGAAAGGGCAAGGTCATGTGCTGACAGATTCCATTTTAATTATCTGGGAAAAAAAAGAGGGAGCAAGATGGGAGAACCATGTTCAAAAACACTTGAGTTGATGAAAGATCTGCAGCACAAGTTCCTTCCCCAGCTTACCTGGAAGGAACTGCTTACCCTCAGTGCTGCACAACTGTCAAAATAAGCATATTCATATCCCTCCCAGGTTCAGCTGCAGAATGCTTTGATATCCCTTTGATGAAAGGCTCCATGTGCTGCTGTTTCCCCAGCCAGCATCTTCTTCACATCAGGGTTTGGATGCTATTTAATGCTTATTAGAGAAGAAAAAAGCAGAAAGCAAAGAAGTGAGGAGTGCCTTTTATTAAAGCTAATTTCTGAGGCCAACCCACACGTCCCACTGCTGGCTAAAAGCCTCTTGATACTATTAACTCTGTCTGCTCAAGCTTGCAACAGAGTGTTTTAACATAGCACGAAACCTTCTATTAGATACTGGTATAGGCAAGGAGATAACTACTCCTAACATGCAATCTGTGACAGTCTAACTATGTTTTACATCCTTCATATTCCAATTGCAAGTATACATATTCCAGTCAAAAGCCAATGAGATGGTAATATAAAAAGTCAATTCAGACCCAGGCAATGTGGCCCACATGCAGAATAGTGGGAAGGAAGTAAGTTCACACAGACAAAATAAACACCTTCAGAAGGCTACTTACTTAACACCTCACTCGTCACAACTTTGGGTTCTGAACGTTCTCCTTTTTGGTTAGAAACAGGTGCTTTTGAAGTGCTTCAAGTAAAGTGTAACCCAGAAATGGTGCTGTGCAATTGTACTAACATGCTAACATGCACGTTGGACCCTGGTGAGCAGAACTACAACCTGACTGATAACATAGAGAGCAAAGCTTGTTACTCACAATTAACTCCTGTGATAGTTAAAACCTTCCGACCGATCAACACTGTCCAAGGGAGATTTTACATCAGCCTGCTTCCTCTTTATAAATAAACAGGTAAGGGCTGGTCCAGATTTTGATGTGTGATTGAAGATAGAATTTCACTGAACAAGTATTTTAACTACTCACATGCACAGAATAATGGATAGTCTGCACATATTAGAAAGTGTCTCAGCAGGAAGGGACTGCTGCACTATCAGCAAACAGCACAGACCAAATTAACCAGATGATTCATTAAAAACCCAAAACAACAAGAGAGCTGGCTTGGAATAGACAGTTACTTCTCTTCAAGACAAACATGTATTTTTCAATGGTAGCTTCAGCCAGTGTCAGATCTCCACATATTGCAGAGCTCAAAGAAGCTCTGAAAATGAAGAAAAAAAACAGCATATCAAACACAAGATCAAACAAAAACCCAAAGAAATGGTTTCTGTGCTTCAGTGGCAGTTTCAGAACAGAACAGAGCCTTAAATATCTTACACTTTTAAGAGAAAGGTACATGAATGCTGCTCAGAAGCAAACTGGTAATAGAAAGCCACAGCCAAGACCTGCAAACTGATTTCACTCCTGATCAGTTTCCAGCTTCTTTCCTCCTCCCCTCCCAGCCTGATTTCAGCATTTTCAGGTTTGTGGTTCAAAAGCACGCTCTGCCAGTCACCTGGGTGCAGGTGGATTGTCAACAATGCAAAGGGTGAGAAGAGAACCTCGGGCTTCCAGTACAGTGAGAACATAGAGGCATGGTAACAACCCAGCCTGGATGTCACACATCACATAAAGCACCCATAAGGGTTGCAAATGGGAAACTTTTATAGTCCTGCTGCAGAGACAAAAAGAATGGTTTGGAGCAGTGACACCATCTAAAATCCAGAAATTATCATGAATTCAAAGCTTTTTCACTGAGTAATAGCATTTCTGAGGACCCAAGAGGCAACTTTAACGTATAAATAAGCTCTAAATACACAGCTATAAAGAGCCTAGGAACCTAACAAGTCAGTAATTACAGCGAGAATGAGGCAACTGTGCACCTCTGAGAAGTCCCTTTGTATTTGTTCTGACTCTCTAGGCTCTTAACACCTTTAATGCATCTAGCTTAACATTTCTAACTGTTGCACCACAACTTGCCTCATAAGGGACTGTAGCAATAGGACAAGGGGTGATGAGTTCAAACTTAAACAGGGGAAGTTTAGGTTAGATATAAGGAAGAAGTTCTTTACTGCAAGGGTGGTGAGGCACTGGAATGGATTGCCCAAGGAAGTTGTGAATGCTCCATCCCTGTCAGTGTCAAGGCCAGGTTGGATGGAGTCTTGGGTGCCATGGCTTACTGCGAGGTGTCCCTGCGCTTGGCAGGGGCATTGGGACTAGATGACCTTAATGCCCTTTCCAACCCAAACCATTCTATGATTGTAACTGTGTTAAAAGGAGGATGTTCCCGCACTATCAGTGAGGTGATTAAGTATCTAATAACAGTATGTGATGATACCAAACTCTATGTGGTTGCCCTTTGGTTTCTAATACTTGAGTTAAACGGATTAGGAGGAGAGGAAGAAGAAAGGAAGCATCAGAATCCCAAACTCTTCACAGTAATAATTAGGGGCATACTTGCTCAAGACCATCCACAGTGTTCAAAGATATAATCAGTGCATTCACCTGCTTGCAACATCAAGCGCAAGGTCTTTTTCTTAACCACAACAAAATAGAAGTAACTGATCTTACAAACTTAATCTGTGTCTGTTACTGCACAATCATACAAACCTCTCCTGTGGGTAAGTGTGACAACCAAGAGCATCATTACAAAGATCCAAGTAAAAGCAAAGGAGAAATAATGGTAATTTAAAGTTGCAGTCTGGAATATGTGCTTGTAGCATTTTTTATCAGTTAGTTTACTGTAAGAACTTAAAGAAGCCCCCCAGAAAATCTATGCTAAGACTTTAATATATACTATCAAGTTATTCTATTTTAAATAGAATGGTTAAGTTTACTCTTATTTTTCTGATAAATTCTTAATTAAATGTCCTTATATCTCAAAATTTTAAGTCCATCAAAAAGGTGCTTTTTACTCTCTTCCTGGCCCAGGATCTCAAGCCCATGGAAGAGACGACAGTAAACATACCTCAGGCTATACTTCCTCCAAACCAAGGTTCATTTGCAGCCTCAATTTTGCTGTTACTAAGTCCTTTCTGCAGAGCCTGAAGACTAGTAAGCAGGAGCAACCTGACTGCAAACCCTGTGAGACAAATCATGCAAACAGGCTGAAAGAAAGAAGTCTTCTGGAAGGTATGCAGAACCTTTTTCACTTACAGCAAAAGAAGAAAGTATTTACAGCAGAAAGATGCTGTTCCATTAGCAGTGTCTTGCTGTCAACTGCCGAGCTGCTAACTCTGTTAAGGACCTGCACTGCACTACCAACTTGAACGCTTGTGGATGTGAATATCCTTCTGAAACTAAATGAGGATATGTCAGTAGGATTGTTCAAAATTGCTTCACATAAAGTATCTGTGGTCACAATGATTTGAAGAGAATGATAAAACTGCTTATAATTTTATTCTAAATATATAAAAAGATAAGCATGAAATAAAAAGTTACATTTCCTTAGGTAATTCACATATATGTTACAAAAGCAGTATGAAAAAACACTGTGCAATTAAAAATTATCTCTATCTTACAGTAACAACTAAGTCTGTTCACATATAAAGACCTCTTCCCAACAGCAAGGTCTGCATATGCAGGTGACTGAATATAAATGAATATAAAACAATATTCATTTCTCCAAAGGCTGAATGCACGATCACTTGTATCCACAGCCTGGGCTAAGAATAAACGTTCACATCAAAACTGCACAAGCAGAAACTGTTGTTATTTTGAAACCCCGCTGAAAATTACCAGCAACATTAAATCCTGGTTAAAGTTTTATCTGAAATGAGCTCAGTTTGTCCTACTTGTAAAGATCATGTGAATAAACCACAGCCTAATGCAGAGAGAAAGGAAGAATTAATTTTTACTAAAGCAGTGTCCTGAAACAAGCAAAACACTGAATCACTGCAGCTGCTAACAGATCACAAAAGTGGATTTAACTTTGGCTGTCATCAGCTGATATGACTTTTTAATAGTACTGAAACATAACACATCTAAAATTTTCCTTGGTAAATATTACTGTGTAAGAGATTTTTCTTTCTATAAATACTACCCTCATTCATACAATATTAATGTCTAACCCCTAAAGAATTACCTTCGTTAGAATTATGACTAAGATACTCAGTTACCTACATTTTCTTTAACAGTTTTATCTCATTTTTACTGTGTATTTTGATTATTTTTTGTTTTGAATTGCTTTCTACTTTTTGCATATCCTTTCCAAACACAAGTTTGGCTGTCCACCCACATTGTCAAGGTAGCATTTCAGACTTTATGACTTTTTAAGCCTTCGGAGTTTTAACTTCCTGAGACCATTTTCAACTTCTTTTTTCCTTTTCTGGCTAAGCTTCTCTGAAGGCACAAGCTGCAGCTCTATACATGATGGTGGCATCACATCTTCAGGGGTTGTGCTTGGCTTATTTTGGCTTGTCTGTGCTATATTGTTCCCCACAGAAAGAGGCTGGGAGAGGTTTTTCCTTAGTGACTCCTCATCAGATGCAGCCTTTGTCATGTCTCGCTTAGAAAACAACCCGGAATTAAGTGGGGTCTTCTCCTCCAAGAATGGACCTAAACAACCATCATCACATTTACTCATCTCTGTATTGCTAGGAATTAAAGGAGTCCCTTCAGAGGATACTTTTCCAAAATGCTCTAGCTTTTCTTCTGGAGCACAGGTCTTTTGTTGAGCCTGTGTTTTGGTCACTTTTTGACTTCGCTTTGGACCTAGCAGTGCTGACTCAGAGCTACAAGGAGGGTTCTCGCTCAGAAGACTCAACTTCAACCACTCCACAGAGTGAGTTTTTTTCTGGCTGCTAACACCATCTGTCTGTCTCTGATTAATATAATTTTCCAGCTCTAAAACAGGAAGCTCCAAGTTGCTCTCAATTGTATTTGTGCAGTCCTTTAGCAGTCCTGGACTCCTCCTGCATGTCACTTCAGATTGAGGGCTGAGAGAAGTCTGACAGTCGTTCTTCCTGTTCCCTGTCTGCGAGTCCACTGAGCCAAGGGACACCTTCTTGGAGTCCTTGCTGATCAGAGGTTTGCTTGTGCTACTTTGCTTCAGTTTTGTCCTTTTCACACTGCAATAAAAAGGAATTTTGTTCTTAAATTAATTTTCAGTCTTCCCTTCTTACAGCATCTGAAGCACCACTAGGACAACCCTCTTTCCAAACATGGAAAAATCTCCTGTATATCATCTTGACAAGCAGTAATGTTCGTCTAGTGTGGATAATATCAAGTGTTATCCATCTGATTTTCCACTGCACTAGGGGAACCCTATTTATTAATGACTAAGCCATGAAGGAGTTTGCATTCTATTCCAAGAGGCAGAACTAGATTCATTACAGATGTTAAAGGTCAACACAGCATAAGTATATTGAATTCCTTCCCAAACTGGCTAGATAAAACAGCATTTCATAAGTGCCTGAACAATTTCAAACCATTCCCATATATTCAGATGCATAATGTGTACCTAAAGAATACAGGGGGGCAGGCAGGGAGAGGCAGCATGTGCCTCTCTCTCTGTGAGAATTTCTAATCCCTATTTTAGAATGTTCCTCCGGAATTTTTCCCAGGCCATTTCAAAGCATTACTTTAAAGTTAACCACTACTCATCTAGTATCAAGCCCGTTCATCTGCAAGGACTTAGGTAATGCAAGTAGATGATATTCTAAAAGGAATTATATAGGAAAATGGGAACACAAGGGACCTGATGGAGTGTCAGCACATAAACACTCCTCAGGAGCGTGTTACCTGCGTATCTGCATTTCTCACAGGCTGTAAGATTAACCTTATGCACAAGTCCTGAAGCTGTATTTTCAGTCTACAGATATTACTGCAGATTATCCCAGGCTGAGACCACGCTCTGCTGCTGCTGAACAGCATATCTAACTCTTCAGAAAGAGGGCTCTTGTGAACAGGCAAAGCTGGCATATCTCCAAATCTAATCTCATTTCTAAAGACAACACAGATGAGACAACATAGGTAAAAAGAAAAGCTGCCAGGGTTCACAGCAAATCCCTGATCCTGTAGTTGATTTGGGGCTACTGGCAACTTGCACAGAAACAGCACCCTGATACAGCACAGGACCAGTGTAATGTTCAGCTGATCAATTAACCCTCCCCATCCACTACACCAGGGACACCCTTTAACTGTGAGCAAAGATCCAGACTAGTATCATGGTACAGTGCAGACTCTCACAATGAGCAAAAAATATATCTGCAAAGTGTTTTGCACCAGATTCAAACACCACATATTTATTTTGGCTCAGGGATTCATTCAAGGAAAAAAACACCCTGTTTTGATTCTGCCTAGCGCTATGTGAGATATCTATGTGGGTTGTAATAGCTTTTTCATGCCATACAAAACAACAATGACCATTTTATGTGCTCATCCACACTGGAGTAAGTAGTCTCTTAGTAATCTGAAATAATATTTTGTAAAGGAGACTGTATTATCTGAAATTGCATTACATGGGCTAGATTCTATTTATCCAAATTTTACCAGACTATAAATTTAACACCTTAGAAAGAAGAGTGACATACATTTCTTTCAAGATGCCTTGCTTTATTTGTTCATTCAGACTAATCTCCACCTTCTTGTTCTCAGCAGATTCAGTAAAATATTCAGACGTCCCATTGGAAAGTTCTTCTTTCTGCTCCAAAAGAACACACAGGTTTAAAACATGACACACCAAGCTATGACTATTCAACATAAAGCTCCATTTCTAATACTAAGACTTACAGATGTTCTTTATTATTTTGATCTGAGCAGTCTAAGAGAATTATTTTTCATCTTTTAATATTGGGGCGTCTAGTAAGTTCCCTCCCCTGTCAGACTCCCAACAAACGTATTTCATATGCTAAATTGCCCCGCAAACAAACAAGACTGTAACCTAAAGGATGTAGCTTTCCAAACCCTCTGAGGAAACTGTTGGCAAATATTTGACATCTTTGTGGCTCAAACTGTGACAAATGCCAGGAATCTCTCTTGCAGACAGGAGCATGTTTGTCAGCTTTTTTTCTGAAGAGACTGACTGGCGCAGTGGTCTATACACTTATTCTCAGAAGAATTCCCATGATTTTCCATACTTACAAAAAAATAGGCAGAGTTTATTTACACATTTCAGGAGGCAAGGGTTAAAACTTTTAATACTAACTTTCAAATGCTCACAGTTCGGAGTGGTTGGCTACTACAGGACAACAAGGGAATTCTTTCTGGTCTCAGCTAACAGCAGCACCATGGTTTTACATTAATACGAGATCGGGGCAAGAGGGAGGGAAGGAAAATGCTCTTTTTCTTCAAGCTGTGAGTGTTTCCTTTCACAATGAAACAATCTCAGTCAGAGCAGGGCCAGTTCCTGACTTCACTATTAAAAACTATATACTCAAAAAAAAAAGGACTACTTCAGAGGCTACGCAGAGAAAAAAATGTGGCAACATCAGAGAAGGGGCTTTGTGCATCTCCTTTTCTTGATATCGCTTTTCTCCATCAGCCTGCACGATGCAACTTCTGACTGGAGCTCATCAAATGGAGGCAGTGCTTATTTATACCCTTGCTCCACACTGTGAAGCTGGCACATGAACCAGATGGTACAAAAGAAGTGAAGGAAGTAGAGGAAGACTGTGGAGGCACAAGACCAAAGCATGTACATGACCGCTGCCTGGAACACCTCTAAACCAGTCACTTCAAGGCACTGAAGCCCTGCCCATTTTTTCTCTGTATTTCTGTTTTAAAGGAGAGGGGATAAACCTCACTGCTCTTTCCAGAAGACTAAGCCAGTCAAAACAACTTCCTGTTTTCTAAGAAGAAAAAGGGTAGTCAGGCAATGAAATCAAGCTATTTTGACAGTTTCAGAAAGACCTTACAGCTGTTCTCAGCCATCCTTTCAGAGGCAAATTATGCAGACTTCTTTGTGTGTACTGATAGATACAAGTTCTGTCCACTAATGGTGGAACATGTGTGTCTAGAGCAGGCAGAAAACACATGGGACATACATACATACAGTGTGATTTCAACCTCAGAAATCAAGCTTAACTAGTTTATTCTGAGGGATTAATTGCTGCTTCTATTCTAGTTAGAGGTATGGGCTCCCCTAATTTGACTAAATAAATTTTCATCACACTCTTTCACACTCTTAACCGTAACAACCGTAGAAACTATTTGAATTTCCAGTAACATTCGCACAACTCAGCCTGAAGGATCTTGCACAATCCTTCTGCTGCAAAGCAGCCGGAGAGCACTCTTACTTAGCCAGAGGACAGGAAAAGCATTTGAGTTTCTGCTTTATGATAACCAATAAGGCTGATTCTATTAAATCTTCTTCAAGTCTCCACACAGCGGATCATGATAGGATTGCCTCTCCATTAAGCCAACTCTGGTAGGATGTGGTAAGCAATGTGATGTACAAAATCCAGAGGGCTGGGGACAGTTCCTGTCCACAGGTACTCACTACTGCAGATAAGGAAGAAACCTCAGTTCTAACTTGCATCTGATTATGAACAGCGCATGATTGTTGCCTGGAGTGTACTGTCATGCCAGGGTGTCAAGAACAGACCCTGGAGAGAGGCAAAGTTGACAAAGCTCTGTCACTTGTGAGTTGAGTCAGACTGGAGTTAATGGTCCAGAGTTGTAGGGTAACACATTCCCTCACTACACCATCATCAACCTTTTATTTTGGTTTCAAGTAACTTATCACATAAAGCAGTGACAGAAAAGGGTTAAGGCATTAAAAAAATTAAAAATCAAAATGATTTATATGTGAAACACTTCTGAACATGCCCTCTAAGTATAGTAGATTTTCCCCTCGGAACCACACCCTGTAAGTGCTGTATTTTGAGAGCTGAACAATTAACATAAGGCATATGAGTCAGTCTTTGAAAGACTCTGTGGGAACCAGAGAGCCTTTTGCTATTAGGAGTGATGTAAACTCCCTAAGGCTGGAATAAGTCCACAATAGAAGGCAGAGAGAGTCATAAATAACAACAATGGGCACCCCATATACTACTAAGACACTCAGCCATTATTGGTGATACTTCCTTTATTTTCTTTATTAGACTTAATAATTTTAGTTAATTAAAAAAAATAAAACAACACTGCCTGTTTTGAGAATACTATTTATTTCCTATGGGAACTTTGGGACTTGTCAAAGAAAGAAAAAAAAAAGCTAATCTGCTCTCATCCTGTCTAGTAATCCCAAATTCCTTTTAGGCAGTGAAATAATTAAAGAAAAATATTCCAGGCATAAAAAGGAGGACAGCAGAAGCAGACATCATATAAACAATGACACCATGACAGAGAAAAACGTCAAAGCCCCGCCAGACTTGTGACTTGACTCTGAAAGAGCTGCGGGGAGGTGGGATTGCTGCTAACAAATTAAAACCACATTTCTTGGCAAATTGTTAAAGACAGCCATATTTACATTTGTATAGAGACTGGGTGGGCACAAAAGATTAAAATGCTTCTTTAGCCCTTGAACTGCCAAGTCCTATTAGAAATATGTGCTCTTAAAATCCTAGGGTAAGCTCGCTCCTTTTTGTCACTAAAACTCAGCAAAGAAGCGCCTCCAGAAATGGAGGTTGTTACAAAGTCTTACTGCTCTACCTGCTCATAACACTGGCCTCTCAAAACCTGCTTTTAAGATCCTTAGTACTTATCCAAAGAGTTGTCTGGGAGAAAAGTAAAAACCTTTATTAAGACCTAGAGAAAAACTTTATTCTTTTACTATCTTACTCAACTTACTATCTCACTCAAAATGAAGAAGAAACCCTCAAAACGTAAAAGTGGTGACTGCCATCTGCAGCTCTCTCCAAGACAGCTGAATTCAGCAATACAGCATTAAATACCTGAAAAAGAATTACTCATGGATGTGGCACTTGTGAAGAAACCTTACAACTCCTTATCATGAAGGATCATAGAACGGTTAGGAGAGGGAAAGTGTTGTCTTTCCACTAACACTCATGCAATACTGGTTTTAGTGTCTTTTTCAGTCTAATGTTTGGGATGCTGGGTTGAAAGAAAATTTTCCAAAGTGACCAATGCTGCCACCTTTCCCACCTCCCATTCAGTTCCACACTTTCTAGCTGTCTCTTGCTCTTCTCAGGGTAACGGTTGCACATGCTTCTGTACCAATAAAGTAACACTAACGGGTAATTAAATCTCATGTCTGGTTAACAAAAAAAAACAACCCAACAAAACACAACAAAACACATTGTTTCTGAACTGCATTTATCAATGTGGCCCAACTTGCTCATCAAAAACACTTAATAGGAAACATCAGTGGGTCCAATAAATCAAATATAGTGTTGGAGTGGCATGTGAGAGGGAACTCTGAATATAATAATGTAGACAAAGCAATGAAATAAATTATTATCTCAGCACACACAAGTGAATAAAATTAGCACAATGAATCAGAGAGAAACACTTATTTAGAGGAACTTCATGTAAGCTTGCAATTGCATGGTTTCTTTTAATGTCACTCTGAGCTCCACCATCTAAGATAGGCTCTAAGTTTCAGAACAATTCTAAGAGATGACTGGCACATCAGAGAGGTCAGACAGGACTCTTTCCAATCTGATAAACAGAAAACGGCTCCTAAAGCAAGTGAGGAGCTTGGCAGGGAAGGATGAATCAGATACCATAAATCTAACTGATACAAAATTGACAGAGGCAGGACTTCGGGTTTAGTCTTTGCCCTCTCCCATCCCACATGAAGGAAAAGCTTCCCACAACTTCATGACGCAAATTTTTCTGCGTTTCCAGTGTAGTGATGCATCTGTCCTAGCGATTCTACTTACGAACTCCTACCACATCATAGAACATTCATAGATGTTTTCCAACAACAGAAATACTGGATACTATTCTCACCCTGAAATACAGTTCTTTGATTGGACTTGCAGAATATTGCTCTACAGTTTAAAGTGGACTGTTCTGCTCTGTATGTCAGTACGTTCCAGTAAAAAGTATTAAGGATCATCCCATGTTACACACGGGAGTACTGATTTCTCATTCAAAATAGGTTATTTCAAGGAATGCTGGTTGTTTAAAAGTACCATTCTTTTCAAGACTGAATTTTAAGAAATAACCAGAGAAAAATGCATCTTTCTGGCAAGGAGCAAAACTGTACAACCTACCCATGGCCTAGAACAGAAAGGAATAGCTGCTGGATCAGAGTCTTCATTATCTAGTACCAAAATTCATTTTGATTTAACACCATGGATCTTAACTATTAAGTTTTTGCTTGTTAAGAGTCCCTATTATCTGTACTATTTAGTCCAAGAGTTGGCCCAATCTGTTAAAGCCTCTGAAATACACGTTCCACTTTCTCCTTTCTCAAACCACGAGGTGTGAACCCAGGTTTCTCACTCAATACATAAGTCTTGGCAATTCCAAACATTCCAAAGGTCCCCAGAGCATCATCACATTAGCTTAAAGCATCTGACTTCTATGAGGAAAATGCTTGCTTTCGAAGTGTTTTGTTTGGAATTTAATTGGGAAATTCAGAGTTCTCTGGGTTTGCATTTGAACACTTGCTAGATAACAGAAAATGGGAAAATAAGCTGTAAATGGCATAAACCAAATAAATTGTGGTACTGCATAGAAAAATCAAAGTTGCAGGGAGACCATTGTAAATACTGATACACGTCTGAAACGCAG